TGGCTGACTTGGCAAATCCAAGAAAGCCAAAATCTAAGCTGGAAACAGGGAACGCTGAGGATGAAGCTGGTAGAGTAGGGAGCAGTTAGAAAACAGGTAGATCCTGGCATGAGATTCCTTCTTTCTTTGTGGTATCAGCAGCTTCTACTCCCACACCCCGACAAGTCTGTGAGCTTTTGTTTTATTTGTCTTTGTTTTCCTAGTTCTTGTGTTCGGGGCTGGGGGATTCCAGATACAGGAGATAATGGACCACACTAAAAATTTAATAAATGGGACTGTGCTGAACGAAGAAGTCTCAGTCTCTCTTTAGGCTCAGGACACTGACAGCAAGGTCCTTTCCTCCCAGTCAAGAGAACTCTGGACAACCCGACAGGCTTAAGAGGCTAGGTATAAAAACCAGATTATCAGGGTCCCCTAACTGATGGCCCAGCCAACATCATTGTGCAGGGAAATACACAGTGAAAAGCCTCCATCCACAGAGCTGCCAATCACCTTTTTAGTCAATTTTATTTATTAGCAAAGAATCAGTGAATTACTACAGATCTGTGGAAACTTTTAACATGAAAGACACACACAGAGAAAAAATAAGCAGTTTGATATAAACTATTCAGAGAGAGAAAACCTAAAATCACTGTAACCTCCGAAAAACTGGAACAAAGGTGGGCCGGGGATTTAGCTCAGTGGTGCCAATGTCTGCCTCACTAACACAAGGTCCCAAGTTCCATCCCGCTACCAAAAAACAAAACAAAACAAAAAAAAACAACTGGAACAAAAGCCAGGCATTGTGGTGCACACCTGTAATCCCAGCACTTGGGAGGCTGAGGCAGGAGGATCACTGAGAGTTGAAGCCAGCCTGGGCTACATGATGAGTTCAGGGACAGTCTGAGCTACATTTCAAGAAGTTGTCTCAAAAGACCAAAAATAAACAAAAAACTCTAGAATATAACGCCATCCTAAGAAATAGCGAGAGACGGAAAAAAGTCTTTGAATTTAAAAATGCGACAGTGGAAATATTTTTTTTTAATCCACATAGAAGGGTTGGGAAACATAGCAATAAGTAGAGAAAGAAAAAAACAAGAAAAAGACAGCAAACAGGTAAGAAATTAGAAGACCAGTGTAAGATTCACAGATGGTCGGATATGGTACCATAAACCTATAATCCCAGCAGTGTGAGAGGCTGAGGCAGGAGGATCGAAGTTCAAGCCGAGCCTGGGGAATTTAGTAACTTAGCAAGGCTTTGTCTCAAAATGAAAAATAAAAAGGGGCTGAGTATGTAGCTCAGTGCAAAGCCCCTGTGTTCAATCCCCAGTATCACAAAAAATAAATGGTGTTTACTACAGAGAAAATAACAAGGTATTTCAAGAAAGCTTCCCCCGAAAACATATTCTTGTATTTTGAAAATTTAAAGGGCCCAGTGAATACTTAATTTAATGAATGAAAACAGATCCATACATCATTTGAAATGTAAAAAACACTGAAACCAAAGTGTCAAATCTATAAGCTCACAGAGAGGTGAAAAATGTATCTACAAAGGATTAAGGAGCCTTAATGGCTGGGAATTCTCAACAGCAACACAGGAAGCAAGATGACAATGGTGCAACAGCTTCAAAACTCTGAAGGAAAAGCACTTCCAACTATGACATCAGCCAAAACATCGGTCAAGCATGAGGACAGAATTAAAACACATTCAGACATGAAAGGGCTCCAAAAAGGGTAACTCATCCTAGACACTACTGGAGTCTGAGTTCCACTACAGAGAGTAAAATCAATACAAAAGGGTACAGGATACAGGGACGTCCCAACAGGAGCGCTGAGAGGCAGCAGCCACCTAAGCGGAGGCCAGCCAGGCTAGCCTGAAGCACTGTGTTCAACTGTGGTCCAGCCCTGGTTGAGGTGAGAACTGCCACCACAACAGGGCTCAGATCCCCATCTGTACTGTGCAGGGCTGCCTTATCTTGAGCTTCTGCTGATACAGCTCCAGCTCACCTCCAATTAGCAGCAGCCCTGGACTTTCCTCACTGAGTTTGGCTTTGACCTTCCCTGGTAACTGCAGGTAGGAAAAGGTGAGCCAAGGAGCAGGAATGTGGAGTAAGCGGCTCCCGGACCCAATCCCTGCTGTCCTTCCAGTACATGGCCCTCCACATGCCCGACATGAACCCCATCAACTAGAACTCCCTCCCAACACCACCCACCTTCCCCAGAAAGGACCCTGTTCAGTCACGGAGGCTGAAGCCATTCTGTTCAGCTCTTCTCTTGCTGGAAGCCTTTATCAGTGACAAGTATCCTCCCCTTACACTGTTAAACTGGAAGTTATTATAATACAAGCATTTATTCCAAAATTTGAGAAGCTCTTCTATTTTGTAATAAGCCTGTTTGGACCTTATCTATTCTGGAGGGGAGGGGGACACAATTTTCTTACCAGTTTACTTGAGCAATCACTATTAATAAAGATGCAGGTAGTTTACAGTCCTGTAAGGCTTAACTGCACAAATTAATGAGGTATTTTATAGCCTAGTAGAGAACATTAATCCCAAAATATTGTGCTTCTGTTGTCCTGTAGAACATTAACCTGTTTTATCTAATTTAGCAATCTCTTTTAGGAGGCAGTACTAGGGACTGAACCCAGGTTCTTCACAGTGAGTTACATCCCCATCCATTTTTATTTTCTGTTTTGAGACAGGGTCGAACCAAGTTGCCCAGACTAGGCTCAAACTTGCAATCATCCTGCCTCAGCCTCCTAGAGATGAAATTACAGGCATGTGTCACCATACCCAGCTAATTTAGCATTTTTACTGAGACATTTCTTTCTCCCTATGAACTATGTATCTATCCCTTTAATTCTCTTAAAACTAGCTCTTTAATTCTTAGTAAGTTAAATAAAACCTGGAAACATGCTATTGGTATGGGACTTTTAACACTCATTCAAAACTATATTATTTAGGACATAGGGATGTATATGTATGCATTTATGACTATGTATATGCAAATATTTGTGTAATGTATAAATATATGTATGCATATTTATGCTTAATGTGGGAAGCTTATTCCAAAAGCAGAAGAAAGACTATCACAAAAAACAGGATAAAGGCTTCCTCTGAAATAAAAATGCTTCTTCGGACCGGGGATTTAGCTCAGTGGTTCCACTGCCTGCCTCGAAAGCTCAAGGACCCGAGTTTGATCCCCAGTACCAAAAAAACCAAAACAAAAACCAAAACAAAAATGCATCTTCTTTGTTACTCTCATAGTGGGCAATAGTGATCAGTGCAAAAGTATTTTTTAAATATTTTAATATATGTTCTATACACTTTTTGGTAGTTAAAATATTTTGCAATGAAAGAAATGTATTTTTAAATAAAGAACAAGTGTTTGTTATCACCGGACATTGAAGGAGATTGCTACAGAACAGTATGAACACAAAATATGTCTGTTCACATTTTCTCTTCCTGAAATAAAGGCAACACCACTCGGTAGTAACAAAGTTAATAAATTTGCTATTATTTAACACAGTACTCCAGATTTTATGATGTAGACTCAGTATAGGGCTGGGGATTTAGCTCAGTGGTTCTGATGCCTGCCTCGCAAGCGCAAGGACCCGAGTTTGATCCCTGGTACCAAAAAAACCAAAAAAACCCAAACAAACAAACAAAATCTAGACTCAGTATAAAGGGACACACAGATTCTAAGAAATGTATGTAATTCACATATATTTAGCAGCTGCCTTTAAATTATAAAATCTTGTAAGTTATAAAAAGGGTCCTTCTGAGACAAAATTATATTGAAGAAGAAGAATATACGGGATCTACTTCAAACATTCTGCAGCACCAAGTTTTTTCACACAAGGCTCTTAATGGCTAAAACTCAGAAATGGTCAAAAATAACATGATAAAAGACTTATATCAGTCGCCAAATCATATACTATGCTCTTCTCCTCTGGAACGGAACTGGAGGTATTAAAGCTGAAGAGCGATGAAAACAAGGAATTCTTTTTATTTGATACTCTTTCGCCCTGTTTGAATATTTTACCTGCTATTCTTCTGCAATGTTTCGATTGTTTCACACCTCAGCGTTCTATCGTTTGAAAAGGCAAAGAAGGATAAAATGAGACCCATTCAGAGATGAATTCAGAAAAGATCAGCTAGGGAGGTATAGCTCCAGCTAAACCTGCTTTTCCCAAGGCATCAATATCCAAAGGAACTTATGGTTTCCACCTTGAGACAGGGAGCCTTGAACACCACTCTTGGTTACTATGTTTTGAGGCGCGCTCTCACTTAGAAACTTAAGCAGGTGGGAAAGAGGAGCCTGGAGATGAGGGAAAAGGAAGATGACGAGCCTGGGAGTGAAAGCCTCTGGAACTGCCAAGAAAAGGGATTTACAATACCAGCAGGATTCAGGGGGACACAGCGGGAAGCGAGCAGCCCAGCACGCTGCCCGGCTTCGCTGCCGGGCTTCGGAAAGGTCGCAGATTTACCACCAGGTTCCTTCGGAAGCCCACTTCTTGCCTGAACACCGAGCTGGCCTTATCCACCACGTCTCTGCTCCAGGGACACTCGGAGACGATACCGAGCTGGCCCTCGTGGTAAAGGACGCTCCACACTCATGATTTATCCCCCGAAGACTCTGGTCCGTTTCCTCCCACTTCCCCCATCTGTGCTCGACGGAGGCAGAAAAGTCCACCGAATGCGCGGATTCCCAGCAATGGCTCGGAGCGCTCGGGGGGCCGAGGAAGGGCCATGGGGTTCGCCCTCTCCCCGCCCGTCACCCCTTGAAACCGCTCTGGGCTTTCAGGAAAGCGACCCGGGCCGAGGGTGAGGCAGGCGCAGCCCGCCCAGCGGGTGGGGGTCAGGGCCGCGGTCACCGCGGGGCGCCGGGGGCCGGGAATCCCGGGCCGAGCCGCGCCGCAGCCCCGCGCAGGCCGGAGCGGGCCCGTGGGGGTCCCTTTCCGCGCCCGGGCGTCGGGCGCCAGGCTCCTCACGCCCCCCAGGCCCGCCGACCGCACTCACCCGGGTACTCCGACGCCCACGCCGACCCCTGGCGCAGCAGGCAGGAGGAGGAGGCTGAGCCGTGACCCAGCTGGCGTCCTCCGGCTCCCCCTCAGGCCCGGGAGCCACGGGCAGGCGTCGGGCTCCAGGCGAGGTTGCCGGTGGGGCGGGGCGAGATACCGGGCGAACGGCAACGACCAATCATCGCGCAGCAAGTGGCCTGTCGGGGGCGTTGCAGGTTTCTAAGAGGAGAGGCTGGAGGCCAGGAGGCGGGGCTAAGGCGTTGCGGAGCTAGGCTCAACGCCGTGCGCTCCTCAGCGACCAATCGCCGTGAAGTAAGTGGCTGGGGGTGGGACTCCTGAGGGGCGGGTGGGGACGCCTGGACTCTTCGGCCCCGGGGTCGGTGGTCCCGAGATCGAGTCTTCCAGATTGCTCCTGCGGAGGCCGTTGTCATCATCCGGCAGTTGCCGCCTTCGAACTCACACCGCTGTCTTTTTGCACGCGGACTTCACGTGCAGAATCTGTGAGCTCATGCGCGCGGGGCAGCCCACGCCTACTGTAGGACACGGTCTCCTTTGCCTATTGGCCGGGTAGCGAGCTGCTTGGAATAGGGCACGTAGTGCTCCAAGAAGGATCTCAGAAACCCGGGGTCTTTAGCGATACCTTTCTGTAATTCCTGCTGTACAAATGGCGCACGCCTGTAATCTCAGCACTCAGGAGGCTGAGGCAGGGTGATCGCCGCGAGTTCGAGGCCAGCCTGGGCTACATAGTGAGTTCAAAGCCAGCCTGGACAATATAGCGAGATCCTGTCTAAAAAAATAAATAAATAAAAATAATAAAAAGAAATGAAGTCCTAAAAAGGTGGAGTTAACTCATTCAAGAATATTTTGGGGCCAGGGATTTAGCTCAGTGGCACCGCTGCCTGCCTCGAAAGTACAAGGTCCTGAGTTCGATACCCAGTACCAAAAAGAATATTTAACTAGTACTGGTTCCTGAGGTTATCAACGTAACACAACTAGTCCTTTGATCTGGCCTGACAATTCATTTTCCATCTCTCCACCCTGATTTCAACTCTCTCAAAGCCATATGTCTTTCTACTTATCTCCTTTAAAAATATGGCCTCGACAAGGTCTCCCATGACCACAGGGTGAGCGGTGACAGGTGAACCACCAGGAGATGGCTCTGCCTGGCTTCCACCTCTCCAGCATCTTGGCCAGTTATGGATCCATCATAATCTACAGTTTGAGCCCCAGCTGCAAGAAAACCTGGGAGATACAGTTTTCTGTTTTCCATCCCCAGTAATACACCAAGGCATAGATAGACACAGAGAGATGGTGACTGAGAAGTCTTGGGCCCAGAAAGATACCATAGAATAGGAAACCTCATAATACATGATACGTACCTCATGATAGAGCCATTCCATACCCAACAGGAAAAAGGGCTAGTCTTTCCATTTTTATCACAGAATTCATATCAAAATTACTAATAAAATTCAAAATCCAAAAGGAGATAGGATGTGGTCAACCACATCCACAAGTCTATAGGAACCTATATTTTAAATTTTCCTTGGTATTCAGTAGAATGAAAGGATTCTGAGCCAGAAGGCTCACAAGAATGAAGCAAAAATCTATTCTGTATTCTAGACATTTTCGTTTTATAAATCAGCAGGAAAATAAGAGGGAGCACAGAACTTTTTTATCATCAGATAATGACATGTCAAACTACAGTCCACCATGACTACCATTTCATACAAGAATTGACATTTTTGCCGGGTAGTTAGCTCAGTGGCACCATGGCTGCCTTGCAAGCGCAAGGTCCTTGGTTTGATCCCCAGTAGCGAAAAAAAAATTGACATTCTAGCTGGACAAAGTGATCCATACTTGTAAATGATCCATACCAGCACTTTGGAAGCTGAGACAGGAAGGTTACTGTGAATTTGAGTTCAATGCCAGCCTGGGCTACATAGTGAGTTCAAGGTCAGCCTGAATCTGAGTCTCATAGCAAGACCCTGCCTCAAAAAGCAAAACCTCAGAATTCAAGAATTAAATAAACATAACATCAAAAAATATATATATATGGGGGCCAGGGATTTAACTCAGTGGTTTCCCTGCCTGCTATGCAAGCTCAAGGACCCGAGTTTGATCTGAGGTACTATATATATATATCTTGGGCTGGGGATTTAGCTCAGCAGCATCATGCCTGCCATGCAAGCACAAGGTCCTGATTTTGATCCCTGGTACCAAGAATAAAAAAAAGTTAAAAATATGGCCTCTTAGCCGAGCATGGTAGCTCACACCTGTAATCCCAGCAGTTGGGAGGCTGAGGCAGGAGGATTGCCAAGAGTTTGAGGCCAGCCTGGGCTACATAGTAAGTTTAAAGCCAGCCTGAAATACAAAATGAGACCTTGTCTGAAAAAATAAATAAATGGGATGGAGATATAGTTCAGTGGTGCAATACCAAATAATAAATAAATAAATAAATAAATGATATGGCCTCTTAAATTTTCAGCATGACTTCAGTAGCCTTTGGAAGTTCTAAATTTCCTACAGAATATAATCAATTCAGGGATTTTTGTGGGGGAACACTATGCAAGCACAGGTATATCCAAACCCAAATCATCCCATGTCAAAACCAGTGTCTGAGAGACTGGTGTTGGAGAGAGAGAAAGGCTTTTTCAGTAAATATATGAAAAAAAAAATGTTCAACATCTTTAGCCCTCAGGGAATTACAAATCAAAAGCACATTGAGATTCCATCTCATACCAGCTAGAATGGCTGTTAATGAAATAAAAATGCTAGCAAAGATGTAAAGAAAAAGAAAGCTTTACACACTGTTAGAGAGAATGTAAATTCATACAGACACTATAGAGGACAGTATGGAGACCCCTCAGAAAACTAAAAATGAATCACCACACAATCCAGTTATGACACTGCTGGGTATATACCTGCAGGAAGCAAAATCAGCATAAGAAGGAGTCACCTGCTACACCCATGTCTACTGCAGCACTATTCACCATACCGAAGATGTGGGATCAGCCTAGGTGCTGCTTACATATGAATGGGTAAAGAGAGTAAGGTGTATATACACACAATAGAGTATTATTCAGCCATGAAGAACAGAACCCTGTCATTTGCAGAAAAATGGATTGAAGTGCAGGACATCAGCTTGAGTGAAATAAGTCAGACGTAGAAACACAAGCGTTACGGTTTAGATCAGAATGTCCCCCAATGTCCTCTTGCGCTCATAGGTGGGCTTTTGGGAGGTGATTGGATCAGGAGGACTATAGCGGATGTGCGGTTAGGAGGTGGGGCCTGAGGAAAAGGTGGGTCACTGGGGGCGTGGCCTGGAGGGGTGTGTCCCCCACCTCTCTGTTTCCTGGTCGTCGTCGTCCCCCCCCCCCCCCCCCGTGAGTTGAGAAGCTTGCTTCCAGGGCATTGGTTTGTACAGTTTGTGGCCTGGCTCCTATCAACCGTGACCCAAAATAAACCTTTAAGCTTGGGGTGTCAGGTGTTGTGTCTCAGTGACGGGGAAAGTGACTAAGACCACAAGTATCGCATAATCTCGTGCATATTAGGGAATTGAGAGAAAGAAAGAGGACCTAAAAGTAAAAGAGTGCTATTAGGGCCAGGCAAGAGGACAAGGGAGTAGGAGGGATAGAGGGTAAAGGGAAGGTGAATGTGGTCCATACACAATATATGCGTGTGTGCAAATGTCACAGTGAAACCCATAGTTTGCACACTTAAGACATGCTAAGAAGATAAATAAGTAAAAATATGATTAAAAAAATAAAATAATGGGGCCGGGGATTTAGCTCAGTGGCACCGCGCCTGCCTTGCAAGCGTAAGGTCATGAGTTCGATCCCTAGTATCAGGGGAAAAAAAGATAAAATGAGAAAAAGGCTTTTTAAGTGGCCAAAGAATGGAAAAATGGGAGATTTGCTTTCAAATGAACTTCACAGCTCCAGGGAGCTGTGGGATTACAGACACAGGACAGGAATAATGAGGGAGACAGATAGACTAGGAAAAGAGGAAAATAGTCACATGTTTCCCACTTATGGGTGGAGATCTTCCAGAGCGGGTGCTGCTCTCTTTGCTCCTTTCATAATTTGGTGTTCCTGGTCCTGGAGGCTGGTGGATGTCTTTAGCCATGAAGGAGAAGGAGAGAGATGAGGCTGGTCTAGGTCAGGTAACCCCCATATTATAGTTTTGGACAAAAACATTTCTCAAATGATCAACACGTGCACATGCAGAGCTGAGTAGAATTTGACCCAAAAGTTAAGGCAGCAAAGGGAACAGACACAAATGGAGACTGATTTCACGAGTTCTCTTCTGGTTGCAGTCACCTCTGGCTGTCCACAGGCCCAAGGGAGCAGTCCGTGTTTTCAGCAGAAGCAGCAGCTTTTCAGTCCCTGAAGAGTAACCTAGGCAACCATAACCACCCTAATGCACAATGCAGACACGTTTTCTACAGCAAAGCTGGTGAGCAACTAATAATATGTTGCCCTGCTGTGCGGCCACCAAAATTAGTGATTTTTAAGTCAACTAAAAGCAAGTAAAGCTAAAAGGTTTATTTAGGTTTTTCCTTGGTACGGGTATCACCAATGGGAATCAAACACATTTTACCTAGGGATAATGAAATGGAAGATTTGTGTCACATAATGATCACACAAAAGTATCCTGGGTCATGTTACTCCTAGAAATCTTACACATGTTCTGGGATGTAGGTACTCAATACTTATTTGTTGGACAAATTCCTTTGGAATATACCATTTTGCCTGTATCCCAGTGAACAGTAGAAAAGGATGGAAAAGGGAAAACGCCCCCCTCTCTTGAAAACTTGTTGCAGAGGCTGCCTGTACATTTCTGCTTTCATTCTGCTGGTAAAAACTGGTCACTAGGGCCAGGGATTTAGCTCAGTGGTTCTGCCGCCTGCCTCGCAAGTGCAAGGACCGGAGTTCAATCCCCGGTACCAAAAACAAAAAAACAAAAAAACTGGTCACTTGACCAGCTAAATTGCAAAGGAAAAGGATAGAAAATGAGGTTTTGGGCCAGGGATTTAGCTCAGTGGTTCCACCACCTGCCTCGCAAGCACAAGGTCCCGAGTTTGATCTCTGGTACCAAAAATAAATAAATAAATAAATAAAGAGGCTATCTTAAAAAAAAAAGAAAGAA